AAAGAGCAGAGCAACTATGGTCCCGGTCCGCTCCCAGACCTCCTCGAAATTGTATCCTTCCCCCTCTCCATGTCTTTGACCCCGGGCATCGTCCCCATCCTCCTCGTCCATCTCATGGCCTCATCCAACCCGCTTCCCCTCTAGTCGCCGTCTTGTCCCCCCCTCACCCCATTACCCGCTCCCCTCCTCGCTTCCACTCCCGCTCTCGTCGCCGCTGCTCCCACTCTCCGCAGAGGACTCGGACGCCACCGAGGACTCCTCGTTGCTGTCGCTGCTCGCCAGTTCCACCACTGCCCCGCCCTCCCCCGCCGTGGCCCGCGTCCTCTTCTTCGCCGGCGGCGCCTTCTCCTCCACCTCGCGCTCCCCCTCTGACTCCGATGACTCACCCCCACTCCCGGACGGCCCCTCCCCCCCGCTCTCCGCCGCTTCCTCCTTCTTCTTCGCCTTGTAGGCCCGCAGTTCTTCCCCGTACCGGACCTTGGCGCTGGCTGCCTGGTCCTCGAACACCTTCTTCTCCTCCGCCGAGAGCGCCCGCCATCGTTCGCCCATCACCTTGGAGATCTCCGTGACCTTCAGCCCGGGCTGCTCTGCCTTGACCGCCTCCCGCGAGGCCTGGGTGAAGAGCATGTAGGCAGACAGCGCCTGCTTCGGCGCGTTCGGGTCCTTTTTCGCGCGCTTTTTCTTCTTCCCCGGGCCCTCCTTCTCTTTTTTTCCTTTCCTCTTCTTCCCTCCCGTCCCTGCGTCGCTCTCCTCCTCCTCCTCCTCCTCGCTCCCTTCCTCGCCACTCCCCTTCTCTTTCTTCTTCTTTCCCCCCTTCGAGCTTTTCTCCTTTTTGATCCCCGTCATCTCCTCCAAGTCGCTCTCCTCCACCATCTCCGCCCCGCTGGAGGAGTCGTCCGAACCCCCTTCTTCGCTCCCTTCGCTTCCACTCCCCTCGCTCCCGCTCTCCTCGCCCTTGTAACTCTCGTCCTCCTCGTCCTCCTCGTCCTCCTCCTCCCCTCCCTCCTCCTCCTCCTCCAGCATCCGATCGATCTTCGCCTGGGAAACGGGCTTGTCGTCGATGACTTTGATGGTCTGCTTGTCCCGCAAGTACTGGGAGAGATTCGCGTGCTCTTCCTTCTCGATCTGAAAGAGGGGCGTGGGGGGAAGAAAAGGAGGGAGAGAGGAAGAGAGGAAGAAAAAATGGAGTCAAACGAGGTCGGCCTCCCAGTCGGGGACTCGGTGAAAGTGAAAGGCGAGGACCTGGGCGGTCAACAGGCTTTGATCGGGATCAAGGGGGGCAATGGAGCGATCGAACGGAGAGAGGGTCAAGGGGCAGGCCGGAAATGAGGGCCGAGGCCTTCCAGGGGGGGGCGCGGGAAGCGAGGACACGCACCTGCGCAAAGATGTACTCCCGGCGGACATCGCCGTCCAGGGGCCGCAGAAGCACCCTCAGGTCAAAGGTACGGGTCACGCCCACGGCGCCGCCCACCCGGTCGAAGGAGACGGACTCGATGTCTTTGAAGGGGATGTAGAGCGTCGGCTTGTAGATGAACATGAAGGCCTGGACGGGGGGGGGGAGAGGGAG